CTAATTTTACAAGTAATAAACCAGTAGATTATGTCAAATATCAAAGCCTTTGGTTCCCAGGGGGAAAATATTTCTAAAGGACTTGAAGCAAACATACGTCTTTTTCATCATAAATATCACCAATTCTCATACTCTGTCCCAAACTAAGAGTGTGCAGGTGCCCTCTTCACGCAGGTGGCTACTACTAAACGTGACTCAGCAAACAGCCAACCTTGTCTGAAAGGAACAGACCAGGAAACTGGGGCCCCAAAAGTAAAACGCCTTGCTCAGGATCCTAGGGCTTTCCAGTGGCAGAGACTCCTGGTCTACCAAGAACTTCCTCCGGTCTTGATGGTTGTGCCAATGGAAGCCTCCAGACGGGACTGCTGGGAGGTGGGACTTGACTTTTCCAAAGGTCTCAGACTCCCTTCCCTACACCCATAATAAATTATGCAGTGACCATGAACACACTTGAACATGAGCATGCTTAGAAATAAAATTCAGGGAAAAGAATCAGGAAGAGTGGAGGAAAATGGCAGAGACTGAGTGGTACCCAGTGGAGCTCTTAGTGATAAATTTGGGAGCATGAGGAGGAAATGGAAATTGGGTGTCTAGGCAGAGGGAACAATGATTGCCAAGGCAGGAAGGTACCTGTAACTAGGGTGTGGGTTGAGAAGACAGAACCATCCAGACAGCTGGCCCTGGTTAAAGGACAAGGACTGCATGCTTACTTGCTAGAGGACTCACAATTTTCAAGCAGGTGTGCCTGGAAGTCTGAATTTTACATAGATTCCCCCAGGATTGTTTCAAGGTAAACCTGCTGGTGAGGCCAGAGGCAGAGGGAAGCAACATCAGCAGCCCCTTTAAGAGACAGCAGCAAAACAGCCAAGACGTGGAAGCAACCTAAACACCCATCAACAGATGGCTGAATAAAGAAGATGAGGAATAGGTACACAATGGAATATTACTCCACCATGAAAAAGAATGACATAATGCCATTTGCAGCAACATGGATGGACCTAGAGATGATCATACCAAGTGAAGTAAGTCAGACAGAGAAAGACAAATATCATCTGATATCACTTATATGTGGAATCGAAAAATATGATACAAATGACCTTTTTTACAAAATAGAAACAGACTCACAGACATAGAAAACAAACTTATGGTTACCAAGGAGGAAGTTGGGGGAGGGTGGATGAATTAGGAGTTTATCCATATAAAATGGATAAACAATAAGGACCTACTGTATAGCACAGGGAACTATATTCAATATCTTATAATAACCTATAATGGAAAAGAATCTAAAAACGAATATGTGTGTGTGTGTGTGTAACTGAATCAGTTTGCTGTACACCTGAAACTAACACAACTTTGTAAATCAACTATACTTCAAAAAAGAGAGGCAGAGACAGCAGTAGAGGGAGGTCAGAGGTGAGATATGTGAAGTATCAGGGCTGAGGAAGAGAAAGGAGGTGGAATGTTCCCAGATTTCTGGCTTAGGTATAACGTGGGTGGTGATCCCATAAGCCAAAGACAGAGAATGGGAGAAGCAGCCGGGTGTGAGGGGCTGGAGCTTGGCTGGTGGAAAGTGTGTGGGAATAGAAAGTGGCTTTGAATCATGCACTGGGCGTCTGGGTGGTGCTCAGTAGACCCCAGGGGCTCAATGGTGAGGTCAGAGCTGGATATACAAACTTGGGAGCCATCAGCCATCTGTGGAAATTAGAAGCATTGTTGTGGATGAGACTGCTCTAAGGAAGAACACAGAGAAGGCAAAACGTGAGAAAGTCCAACACAGCACCAGCATTGTTGTATAAGGACTCCTGTTTCGATGTATCCATGTATGGTAGACCATGAAGTTCTGGGGGAGCAGAGGTTGTTGAAAAGAAGATGAGATCAGCTTGGAGGAAATTCCTTTCTTGGCATGGGCTTCAGTTTTATCAGCTGCATCACTATGGGGTTGGACTTGACAATCTCTAAAAGAATTTCTTCCAGGTTTAATACGCTATAATTCTAAATCTCTTCCTAGTATTGTAATTCCGATAACCAGCAAATTTACTTTGGAGGAAGCTCTTGGCTTTAGAAAAAGGAGAATTTGCTTGAATGGAATGTAAATCTTTTACAAACATGCGTGCCATGTAATTGCAAACCTCAACTTTTGGATAATGAGGGAAGGACATAAGGAGTTTAAAGACATCTCATAGCATGCCTGAACTACTTACACAGAAACATATGTCATGATTGCCACCGTAAGCCGTGACACAGATGAGTCAAACAGAGAGATAAATTTAGGATTTTTAAGGGCCCCTCCACTGCCGAAGTCAGAAGTTTCCATTTAACTACAGAAAAGAGAAAAATGCTGATACAGACACAATTTGATTTCTCCAGGATGAAGATACCCAACACATCTGAATAAAAATGGCTACAAGGACTATCCACTAGCAAGACCAGGGTACAAAAGGTGGCAGGGTCCTTGGGTCACAAGAGGTAACATGGTGAAACATACCCAAGAAGACAGAAAACTCAACAGGGCTTTGTAAGGATATAATGCCTGGAATCTGGGTGCCTGTGGCTTGGGGAGTCTCACCAATGGGGCCATTAGAAGGGGGCCAAGCTGAAGAGGTCAGTGATCCAGAGTAAGATAAAGTCATAGATTAAGATACAAAGAGAGATGGGGTAAGTGGAGGGGCTGGGCTGGCAGCACAACCAGGCTAGGAGGTGAAGTGGAGAGTCACGAACAGAGCACGCAGAGACAGAACGAGGTCGAGGATGAGCTTCACTGAGTTCTCACCATGGAGCTGCGTCTGTGCATGAATTGTGCTGAACCACTGGGGTAGACTCATCTCTGAAGCAACCTCTCTGCTCGCTCCTGTGAACCCGTGCTCCTGTGACAAGTTCCTCTTTGCCCGTCTCTTTGTTTCTGCTGCCCAGCACGCTTAGCCTCTCTGACAGCAGTGCTATTTCTTTACATCTCAATGTAAACCGCATGGCAGGCTAAATCTTTACAGGCTAATGCCACCACGGTAGGGAGGGTGATTTTGGCTTCTTAGCTCTTTTCGTTCTCAAGGGCAATTATCAGTTCAAGTAAGAGGCGGTGCCGGTAACGCAAGGCTTGTGAGAATCAGGCGTGCTTGTGATGTGCAAAGCTCTTTATCGATACTCAAAGAGACCTTTTAGTTTGGGAATAGGGGCACTGGAAGGATGAATAATGATATTGTTAACTGTACTTCAACACCCAAGCCATGACACATCGACTCAAGGGCCGGCCAAGCCGCTGTGACAAGCTCAGCACCGCACTGTGGCCGTAGGGAAAGTAAATGCCGCCTCTGGTCTCCGAGAGCTAACATGTTGATGGCAGAGGAGTTGGACAACTGACACACCACGAAAAGTCAATGCCGTACCTATTCCATGTGGAGGCATGCTAGGGTCGTTCATAAGCAGAAGGTCAGAGAAAGGAAAATGACAATTTAAAAGCACAAGGGACCACTTTTTGCCTATCAGTTTGACAAAGACAGGGTTGGGGAAAAGTGCTAATGCCATTGGCAAGAATGGACAAAACCGGGAGGCAGGGTGCAGCTCAAGGGGTAGAGCACATGCTTGGCATTCACGAGGCCCTGGGTTCAATCCCCAGTGCTCCTCTAAGAATAAATAGATAATAAATAAGCCGAATTACCTACCCCCACCAAAAAAAAAAAAAAGAATGTACGAAAACGAATGTTTTCATACAGTCAGAGCCAACTCTCTGGGGGACAATTGAGCAATACATGTCAAAATTCTTAATAGTCATACTTTTTAACCAAACCATACCTCCCCCTGATATTTATCCTCAGTGTCGACAGGACAAGGGCACCAATATGTGAACTCAAGGATGCTCATCACAGCGTTATATTAAACGGTGAAAATTGTAAGCAAATCAAATGGAATCTGGTTAAGGAAATGATGGCATAACCCACAGTGAATGCTATGCTGTGACAGTGTATTCTACCTTTATTGACATAGAAAGATGTATGATACAGCACTAAGTGAGAGCAGCTTATGACATCACACGTATAGTATATTTATATTAGAAAAAGGGGATTATATTTCCATATCTGTATATACTGACAGGTATAGAAATGGGAACAGAAAGGTGTTCACCAAAATATAATAGTGGTTTCCTCTGGGAGTGGAATGATAAAAAAAAATCTATATTTTCCAATTCATAATTTTTCAGTATTTTCTGAGTTTTGAAATAACAATCATGTGTTAGTTTCATAATCAGAAAAAGAATAAGGCTGCAAAAAGAGCAAAATAATAGCCAGTGTTTCAGTTACTAAGCATGTTAGGCGCCCAAGGAGATTAAAGAAATTGAAGAGAACTTTCAGTAGAGATGAAACATTATTTTTAACAGCCCCAAAGAAACTTTCTAATTAGGACAGTTTCAATTTATGTATGTGTCATTCTCACTCTCAAACTCAGTGGGTTATAACCCACATCCCAGTTGAAACAAAATGTGTTCAGCCCAAAATAGGTAAGGTCATAAACCCATCAAAAGTGATGACTTTCCCAAAACTCCAGGAATTCAAAAAAGTAAGACAAAGAAAAATGTATAAAATCTATTTAGCTTTTTGGGAGTGAAAAAAAGAAACCAAATGACTATAAAAATACCAGCTCCAAAAATACCCAAAAACACTTCAACGGGAGAAAATAGAGAGCAAAAGATTGGCATATGGGTGTCAAAACTCCAGTGTCAAAGAGGTTTTAAAAACCGGTTGTGGATCACCAATTATATATATCCAAGATCAATGTGACAGAAGCTCGTTTCCAAGAGCACTGGCAAGATTTTCAGTGTCCTAAAATTCTCTTTTCCGTGACTGACAAATCATATAGCTATAATGTGAGATTTGAAAATTCATTTCATCACTGGTGATCAAATTCTAACACAGGAAAAAGAAGGGAGAGAGAGACAGTAACAGACCAATTGCAGTCATTCATATTTAAGACGTGCTTTAGACGTAATTGTCTTTTCTTCTCACCTCCAGGAAAAGCACAAAGAAGAAATGACAGCGATGGCCAAGCTGACAGAATCCATGAGTGAGTAACTTGAAATTTATTCTTCATTTTTGGTTTTGAATGGAAAACCACAAAATTTTGCAAAAAACACATCTCCTTGTGTTTATCTGATTTGTTTTTTAATTTCCTTCTTGTAAGAGCCAAGGTCTATTTAACGCAGATTATTTTGTGTTAATGTTACATTATATGTTATTCAAAATTCATCTCTTGTGGGGTCCAATTCTGTGCTGAAATTATTACCCAATGTGTGGAGCTAAAGAATCAAAATGGGTTGTATTTGTAGCACTGCATTGGGGATTGAAACCCACAATAATTTTAACCTGACTTTTAGGAGATTTGGACAAAGTCAGCTGAAGTTTTATGTGTATGTAGATATTTCATAAGCTGGACAATCTAAAGAGAGGAGACAATGGCTTTTCTTTGCTAGAATTTCAGGTATAGTTTAAAAATTTCAGATGGAACTATTTTAAAAAATGGGGTACTTGAGGTGTAAGTAGCTTGCAATGGTTTAGGCTTTGGGTATATCAGTAACACAATGTGCTAAGCTCTTAAGCCAAATAAATAGGATACAGGAATCGTTTTCAAGAGAAAAGGAAAAATAATTATAATAAATTCTCCTGCAAACTGAGAAATGCAATTTCCTGTGTTGAAGTTTAAATACCAAAGACTACATGGATATGAAACAGACAGACAATGTAGACTTTTTCCTTTGAAAATACACATTTTCCTGGTGACAGATTTCCTACCTGAAGTTACAAGGGAAGCTTGCAAACCCTTCTCCATTATCATTAGGGCCGTGAACACCTTCTTAAAGCTGGCCTCAAGATTAATCACTGTTCTTGCCGACATTTAACTAGGCTCCTGCCTCCTCCTTCTGCTATTCCTCAAATCATGAAACTATTAAGTGCAAGTGTTTTCTCCTGTGGCACAGTCAGTGAGCTCTTATCTCCAAAGGTCTCTCCTTCTAAGAAAAGCTAATGTTACAAAGACATGTACATCCCATTTCTTTAATTCCTGACCCCAAACCTCTGCCTAATTCTGTGTGTCTCCAACACATGATGATTTCACCACGTAAATGACAGCTCCTGGGGACTAAGTGTAGCGCAGCCCCACGCCTCTCTTCCGTTCTCCTTTCTGTGCCATCCCCTGTCCCTTCTCTGCCCCACCCTTCACTCCATGGATGGAAAAACCTGCAGAGGATTGGCCACTTGGTTTGAAAAACCCCAAACTAGTTCTCTGTCGGGGAAAGGACCTTCATTCATCGAATGTGCTCTTCTCAGACCCGGAAGGAGATAGTGAGGGTACCAGAACTGTCATGAAACTGACATGCCTGTGTCGTCAAAATACAGGGTGGATTAGTGCCAACTAACTCACAATCCACAGCACATTAGCAGGGTTAGTCCTGATCTCTAAATCCAAAATCACCAACAACAAAAAATTCACAGATTGTCCGAATGCTAGAAAGATCAACAGCTTGGAAACTAGCACCACTGTCCGCGAATGGAGTCTGGGCTGTTACGGTGCATTAAACCACGAGTTATGATGCTAACAGATTTTACGATGAAGCTCTTATTAGAATTTGATATTCTAGTTCAGTGGATTTTTTTAAACTCACCTAACTGAATTATAAACCACTGAGAGCACTACAAGAGATCTACTGGTCAATAATTCTGGTAAAGGGGTTCTAATTTTTCTGTCTCTGTTGGATCCAGATGCATTTAAATAAGAGCCCTTCATTGGACCCTCACTGATGGGTTGGTTTTAAGTTTCATGTTTGCTTCTGCAGTAATTCTTAAGACTTTGATCTATGAGTCCACTGCCTTAAGAGAATTCTGCCAAAATTGAATTACAAACCCTTGGGTGGAGGAAAGCACATGGCCATCCTTCTAATTTGCTCTGTCCTTTTTAAAAAGGTCACTGGGTATGTTCAATGCATAATGGAAATTTAAAGTTTGAAAATGGACTTTGGAATCATACCCAACATTCTAGTCCATGAATCCCTACAAAGACAAAGAACATTATAAAATACGTAAGACATTCTATTACTCCTCTAGGTGCTAACTATGAACGTTCATCCTGCAGTCAACACTAATAAATATTTCATCAAAATTAAATTCCTGGATAATGCTATACACCATTATACATCTAATCTACATAGGAAATCTACAAGGAAATAAATACATAATTATATCAGGACAGTCTATTGGTACGCTAAGCAAAGAATTAACATTCAATTACTACACAATAACTTTGATGGGAACATCAAATCCATGGCCACCAGAGAAAAGGGACAAAAACAGAACCTCTAAGGCTCAGGACACAGAGCACTGAATGGGTTTTCAGAGCCAGTAAACACTTCGCTTTGTTAAACTGCCAAGCCAAACCCATCTGGTTAGGGGACTATCTCTGTGTTTAACTAGAACTGGAGAGCAATACTTCTCCTGTCACGAGAGGGGTCCAAATGATATCGAGGGCTGTGGAAGTACCATCACAGAGAAGGGGCATCTTACTCATCTTCTAAGAGCAGGATGATGCATATTTCTTTCTATCAGGTACCAAAGTAATCAACCACCTTAAAAAAAATCAACATTAGTTATGTTTTTAAATGGCAAGCAAAGGACACAAAAATATTAACAGGTTTTTTAATGTTTAATTAAAAACAGCTTTATTTAATAAATCCACGACAATACTTCAAAATAGATTTGTTGCATTGTTGAAGGGACGAGGGGGCATGATAAAGAAGGAAAAGTAGAGGAAGGAAAAACAGATGAAATATAAGAAAATGCACATGAGAAAAACCCAGGGGAAAACATATCTATGAACAAAAGCCCCAGAGAAGGAGCTACCAAGGAGGAAAGAGACAAAATCAGAAGGGGGAAGAGAAGACAAGAAAGCAAAGAGAAAGGTGGCCAGGGGGGTACTGACAGTGCTTCCGGGGGATCTGAAATTCGTAAACTACATGCCTGCGTTCACCTGCCGTGGACTTTCAACCTTTCAAAGGCCATTGACTTTTGACCACTGCCCTTTGACATTTTCATCTCTGTTAGCATCTTAGAAACATATTCTCTTACTTCAACCATCAGAAACCCTGTTCCAAATGGGGCAGCCAAAACCCCTGCACTGGAGGAAGGGCCTCCGAACTTGCCTGTCAGTAACCAGGAACTTGCCACCCACCCACTAAGGGAAATTGGGCTGACAGCCTGACCCGAGTGGAGACACCCGACCCCGCCCACCAGCAGGCACGCGGTGACCCAGAGAAGGAAACCAAATCCCACACTGTGCTGGCATTATACATTGAGGCTGACAGGCCCTGTCCTGGCCACTCGAGTCTAAGTCAGTGACAAATTGGAGGCATGCACATAGCCTGGGGCTCTGGAATCACGATCTGTACAGAGAACTTTTGTAGGTTGTTCTTACATAAATTTCTGTAGGCAATTCATTTCATGGCCGTCACCTGCTGATGTATGACCCGCCACCCCCAATCTGGGAACTTGTCGAGCACAGCACAGGATGTCTCACCACGTGGGTCCATTGATAATGTGGATTATAATCAAAGTCTGGTCTCGTGCATGGTGATGGAGTTGAGAGGAGGGGGTTGGGGGGCAGGCAGGGATGCTCGGCCCCAACGCCTTCTCCAAGCTTCAGAGCCCTTTCCCGAGCCTCATCCTCACCCCTAGTGCTCTGCCCACGTCCCTGGAGTCTCACTTCCGCCTCCTTCTCCACACGAGTCACAAGTCCTCAGTAGTAGCAGCAGTAGATGGTGGCCACCTGAGGTGCCGGGGGCCAGCCAGTGCTCACGCTGGATCCTGGAGGGAGGAGCCGACTTCTGTCGCTTTTTGTCGCCATCCATCCAGCCTCTCTCTGGCACGTGAGCCCCAGAGCATTCCTTCTGGTCCTTCTCATGAGTCATCCTGCCCAGGCCGCCCCCTCAGTTATCACAACAGTAACACATCTGCACAGGAAAGAGTTACTCGACATCATTTTCAAATAAACAACACAGTGGCCGCTGTATCCCGAGTGGGTCCAGGCGGCCCTCTCCCAGCCAGGACACAGGTGAGAGGACCACGGCTTCTCCCCCTGCCCAGAGTCCTGGGCCTGTTCTGTTAGGCACGCAGAGGTCTCGGCAGCCTGCATTAATGGGGAGGGAGTTCCTCCTCCTACGATTAAAGAAATGGCTCCAATTTAGCCTAGACTTGAAATGTTCTAATGGCAAATGAAGAGTGAGAACCAATTACAACTGCCGCATATTAAATTAACTCGATTAAAGCACAGTGATTTTTTAATCATTGCTTATCGTTTTATGGATTCACTATTATCACTCCAGCATTGCATTAAGCCATGGAAGGACAAGAAAATGGGATCCCTCCCCACACTACGTGCAGCATTTTGGGGTGATGGAGGCACACACACACATGCACACACACGCACATGGGCACAAGCATTTATTTCCCCATCACATCACTATTCCATGCCGGTCAGCCACGTGCTCAGCGCTTTGGAATCACCCACCCAGGGCCCCTGGCAGTCGAAGGCTCCATCTCCAACTGTTTTCACGTTCACATCATGGGAGGGGAGGAACAAGCATATTGACCCTGCATCTTAAAATCCCACCCAGAAGTGGCACTTCTGCCCTCACTGTTTGGCATTAGCCAAAACAACTCAGTAGCCATGCTGACTTCCAAGAAGTCTGCCCTGTGCTTGTGAGGAGGATGTAAGGTCAGCCCTGCAGAAGACAGAGGGGCTGAGCTATATGCTGGAAATGCTGCAAAGCCAGCCTGGGTACACGGAGCCAATCCACACGTTAGCAACGGCAGGGGACCATCACATCCCTAGTCAGGGGGCCAGAGGGACGTGGCAACTGGGAGCCACACAGATGTGGTTGGTGCCAGAGATTCCTCCTGAAGGAGAGGAGAAAATACTGTGGCTCCTCCCTTCCTCCCACCTGCCGGTCCCCCAGGGCTGAGCCCATCTATAAGACAGCAGAGAGAGGGTCAGGAAATAGGTCCCCTGGGGCCCCGGCA